GAGAGAGAGAGAGAGAGAGAGAAGGGGAGAGAGAGAGGGGGTGAGCCATAGACCCGTGCTATACACATTTTTTAGTAAATGTCCCTAAAGTGGGGGGCGGAAGACGCCACGAGACGTCATTCATGCCAGTCAATCGGCAAACAGCACAGACTTGTATCAGAGAGAGTCCGTCCGTGAAGCTGACCAAATATTTACTACACGTCAATGGCTTTAGGGTGAGCCATAGACTTGTGCTATACAGATTTAGTCAATGACCTTGCATTGGGAGTGGGAGCGGAAGATGCCACAAGTCGTTATTCTTGCCAGCCAACCACTAACCAGCAAGCACAGACTTGTATCAGAGAGAGTCCGCACGATTTAGTGTATTAGGTTAATGATGAACCACAGACCTGGGCTATACAAATTTAGTAAATGACCATACAGTGGGAGTGGAAGCGGAAGATGCCACAAGTTGTCATCCATGCCAGCCAACCAGCAAGCACAGACGTCCGTGCTGGAAGCTGACCAAAGATTAAGTCAATGGTGAGCCATAGACCTGTGCTATACAAATTCAGTCAATGACCCTTCAGTGGGGGCGGAAGATGCCACAAGCCGTACGTCAAACATGCCAGCCAATCAGCAACCAGCAAGCACACACACCTGCGTCCGAGAGAGTCCGAGCGTGGAGTTTCTGACCACCCAGCCCCGACCCTCCTCGACTGACCAGTTGGTACAACCGGCGACCAAGGCTCTGGTAGTAGGCCGAGTCTGGGTCAGACACATTGAGGATACTGGGCAAGAGCTCGGACCACCCCGGTTCGGATCCCGTCTGTTCTTTCCCGGGTGGGGGAGGGGGGCTTTTGGAGACTACTACAACTGGCTTGTGTGTGGGGTCTACCTCAGCTCTAGCTTTGGTGGAGGGGGCGGGGGTGGTGGTGGGGGCGGCAGACACGTCTACAGATTCTGGTTCGAGACAGAACAAACATAAATCAAACTAGACTAAATGCATTACAATGTAATATGTAGGTGTTTTTACGCCAATTTCTGCGCTATTTATCCGTACGCCCTGGGGTCATTTTGTACCCCCAGGGTTTTATTCTTCACATTTTAGAATACTTCTAGAGCGAAGATTTCTTTGAAACTTTCAGTACTTCTCCCAAAAAAATCATTTTGAGAGAATACTATTCAAAGCGTACGGATCGAATTAACGAGTAAATTCCCTCTTGGGAAAGTGGATGTACAATGTACCCCACGTCGTACGGATACGATAGTTAAACACGACGTGCAGGTAGGGTTAAGGAAGCAGACTCCGACCCTGCCTGTCAGGGCCACCCCAGGCTGAGAGGGACACAACGTCCAAGAAAAAAAGACTGAGATACTCGATGAAAATTCCACCCCACTCGGGAATCGAGCCCGGGTCTTCTGTGTGCGATAGCTGAGCACCTAACCGCTACACCACAGATGCTGGTTCACCCGACTTTTTGTGAGGACAAAAATGTATTTGACATATTATTATTTAAGTTTAAGTCCATCACCCTACTTAAGATAATGCGCACGCTATTTTCAAACAGTGGCTTTTTAGACAGTAGTGGCTCTCCTTTCTTCTTCTTCTTCTTCTTCTTCTTCTTCTTTTTCTTCTTCTTCTTCTTCTTCTTCTTCTTCTTCTTCTTCTTCTTCTTCTTCTTCTTCTTCTTCTTC